CTGACTTCTGCGTAAAGTGTAACATTCGCTCTGATTGGTGTGAACTTGCACCCAATGGAACTATGACGTCAAATACACCGTAACTCGCACAAGGTATAAAAGTCAGGACGGGGGAAGTGAGGGAGTGGGGGACGCGTAGACGGACCGTACTGATGAGAATCAGGCTAGCCCAAACTTTGATCGATTGCATCACACTAACTCCAGTTAGAATTTTTGATCAAATGAAACTCATTTTAGTGAATTACTTTGGTAAAAGGCTTCAAAATCCCAGCATATGAGAAAGAAATCCAAATTTCGAAGAAAAATCGACTGGTCGAGTTTTTAAACAGAGACAGCCTCTTAAAACAGGAATAGAAGAACAGAAAATGATTTTGAGAACACCCAACAGACAGTTTGATCACTCCACCACGGAGTGCTCTTGCCGTGGTTATCCAACTGTCTGTTTTTGTCCATTTACTAATTTTTAACTCCAAATTCTAATTTAAAAACTACATTAAATCTTCAAATATTTCTTATTTCTCTAAATTTTACAACTCCTTTGAGAAATGTCCTGCCCAAAAAATACCCCAAAAATCACTACCAAAAATTTACAAAACACGCGCCATAAACATCAAGAGAATATATATATTCTCTTGATAACATAGATTCCTGGTTTTGAGCATAGGAGTGTTTTATGGATTGCTTGAAACCAGGAAACTTGACACGAGATATTTGCCATTTAAAAACCCATGGGTAAGTGGCGGAAAAATGGCATTCAGGTTAACTCCCGCCTTAGAGCTGTTTTAGTCTTATTTTAGTCTTATGTTTCTTCAATGTACTAGCCTGATAAAGTTTTGAGATTTTTGCGATCTTGGTTGTTAGATATGTATAGTATTTACCTTGAGTCTAAACCACGACGGCCAGTGTGAGCTCTGGGTACGACCCGCCATCATGCAATCCATTTATTTTCATCTGTGAGGTTGTACATTTCACGAGCCGAAATGACACAGAATTCAGCCAAGCTCAGACAAACTAATGAAGGAAAATCCAGAGTCATAATCCCTAGAGAGAGTGTCCGAAATGTGTGCGGAAATTCTTTTCCCTCGGACCGCTCTTCTCGTGCTTTTTTACTTCCGTTTAGGCGATAAGAAGAGGGTCAAGGAAAAACATTAAGGGGGGGGATCAAATTTAGTATTAAGAAATTTAAAAAGACGGTGTCCGACCATCTGAAAGTTTTTCCAAAAACAACTCTCGTTGCCAGGGTCTCTCTTCCTCGCTCTTGGAGGAGGGGGAAGTAGAGACCCTGGCGAAAGTGGAACCGAGGTTGTTATCCCTAAAGCGCTCTTCTCCTTATAGAATATCAGATACATTGTCGCCGGGAGGCAGACAGGTGATGAGAATAAAGACAATCATCAGATAGTGGGATAGTTGATGCGCCACCAAATTCTCAGAAACCGAAAGAAAAACTCAGAATAATATAGCTGGGGGTAACCTGCGATGGACTTTACCTTACTAGCAATACTTACGCCTTGCTGACTCGAAAGGAAAACGGAGATTTCTCGGGGGTTCTCCAAGCAGTTGTCAAAAGTTGCTTAACCCATAGTAGCGATTGTTCATAAAATACTCCAAAGATAAGGCCGCCATATTGCTCTGCCTAGTTCGACGATATTCCCTGAAAACAAGTTGATACCTGCACGTGAACTTGGTATATGTCAGCAACTGAAAATACTTGATTTATCGCCTCCCCACTCAGAGCTACTCAGTGTTATAACATTTTGTTCATAGCACGCTCGCGATTGGTTGCGTAAACTGTTTTGGATGCAGTTTATGTATATCCGCCCGGGTATGACCGTCACGTGGCGTTTTGTAGGTTTTATCAGGAGCCATAGTCCCTGATTATGGCTCCTGGTTTTTAATTTATAGCAGAAATAGAAAAGTGGCCGCTTTGTCCATCACATAACCTGATCATACAACAATCAATTCGAATTTTAGGAGCCGTTATTTTCTTTCATTATAGACGCTGGGCCCAATCTCGCTACACAGAGTCAACGGTCTCCTCAGTCAGCGGTAGTAGTTCTGCCACGGTTAGACCTTCTGGGGGAATGGCATTCTCGTCCCCAGAGCGCCACGATCCTTTTGGGTGTCAGACACCAAGAATCGGGACCTCTGGAAACCAATTTGTTGAACATGCGCAGAGTACTCCGTTCTAGAAATGTTCTCAGGCCAATCAGATCTTGTCCGATTTGACGGGAAGTCCCGAGATTCGCGGACTTCCGGTGTTTGGAACCGGCCAGAGGTTCCGATTCTTGGTGCTGACCAAAAGGATCGTGGCCTCTGGGAACGAGAATGGGGGAATGGAATAAATATCGAATTTTTTGATTGGCTGTTCCGTGTAACAAGCAGAGGAAGTGACCAACAAGACCGTCCGTTATCCCAGAGTTCCACCTGGCGACGACCAACCGCTGACGGAGGTGACCGTGGACGCTGGGTACGATGAAGCAACCTCGTTCCCAGGGTCTCTCTTCCCCCACGAAGAGAGACTCTGGGTACGAGGTTGGCTCTGAGGCCGAGGAAGATTAGTTCTGCTAGTCGAAATATCGGCCAATAAATCTGCCCTTTTGCCGTAGTGCCAGCCTTGCAATCGCTGTTATTACAGTTGAGCCTTCAGTCAAATATTCTTTTTGTTTCCAAAAGTATGCAAATAAATAAAATGAAAGAATATACAACTGTATATCCATATCAATAAACAAACATGAACATGATGATGAAGATTACTATATTGTCCTATTTTATATAACAATCTTATAGTCCATTAAAAAGTATACCCTATGTCAGACCACAAAGGCGAAAGCTTCAACTCCTGCTTCAACCCTATTTCTGACTAAAAGAACCGATAGGGGACCACACCTCCCCCACCCCCACCCCGAAGGTCTTACATTCGGAGGTCTTATCTTATCGGAACTTTACGGTACGACGTCTCTCGCGCTCCCGGGGGGGGGGGGGGAGGGTACTCAAAAACGTTTTATACGGGGAGGCTCCGCCCAGAGGTCCAACCCCTTACCCTTTCATATACCATTTTTTACAGAAAAGGTACCCCTTTCATATACCTTCCATAGAAAATGGTACCCCTTTCACATACCTACAGTAGAAGCACTGCATCCCTTTTCTATAACCCTTGTAATGAACCAGAAGCTCATAAGCTTCTGAATGAAACTTAATGAACAATATATATCACCAGAAATCATCAAGCATTACCAGTAGAAGATGTTAACCAAACAATAATATCATTTACTCGTGAAATCCCTACCCTTTCACATGACCTCGAGCCTAAAAAAGGACCCCTTTCGGGCGGAGCTCCCCGTATAGTCCATTATAGGGAGTACCCCCCCCCCCCCCCAAACAAGAATTATGGATGGAGCAGTTTGACTCTATACATACCTCCATCGATAAATCCCGCAGACATTTCAAATTCTCCTCCGATGTATAAGAAAACCGGTCCATCACTCTTCCTCCAGTAGTTAGCATTTACCCAATAACGTTGCTTAAACGTCTTCTGCGACGGTTCAAAGTGATCCACCGGTTGCAATATGGCGTATTCCTCGATTGGATCATGTCGGCTGTGCAGTGATTGTTGATGTTTGTTTACAATTTGGCGGATCTTGTAAAATATCTCGGTTTGTAAGCACGAGACGTGATGGATAGTGATCAAGAATAGCAGACTGTGGATGACGAATTTAAGCATGATTGTACAGTTTCGATTATAACTCGAAGTAAAAGTGCTTTTCCTGGGGGTCATTTCCTGTTCAATCTCCTGACAACCTCGTGATATATATAAAAAATATAAACAGCAAGCAGAGCGTAACTACAAATATGTCACGCTATCACGTCAGCTGTCATGTTTTTTTGAAAGCACACTCTCTCCTGTATAACTTACTTATAACTTACTATTTTTTCAAGGTAATGTATTAGTTCAGGAGCATATCACCCTCAGTGGAGCCTCCATCTCCCTTATTGGCCCTACGACACAGCGTAGTTACACCTTGAGCTATTTTTAGAATTACTTTTGCCGCGAAAATCACCCGTTTGCGAGCCCGAGGTTGTCATTTATGTTTCAGATTAAAAATAACCAAGAATGGACTAGAGGAACGCGGAATAAAACTAGAACGGCGGAATGTCGTTACTACGAATTATCACTATTGTCCGCGGATGTATACGGAAATCTTTTCGCGGGAGAACGATTCTAAAAATAGCCCAAGGTGTAACTACGCTGTTGTCATTGATCAGTACAGATAGAGGCTCCGGGGTGATATGTGCTTCATACATGTCTGAATAGCTTACACCTCTCCCGAAGCAGAAAGCGACACTTTTTTTTAGCAAAATTCTGGTGAAAATACCTCTCAAGTCGGACATTAGTGAGTATATTTTGCACAATCCAATAGATTATAGGCCGGATATTATATTAAATGGACCTACTGGTATGCTTATCGTTCATTTGCATGAATCAACTGTAAAATAGTTTTTACTGATCAGCTTTGAAAGGAACTGTAAATATGCAATTGGAACTTGTTTCCAGTTCTGACGTCACAGCTGTCAATTAAGGTCTAGCCTTCTTCTTGACCTTTTATAAAGCTATCTTGCCTATTTCATTTCTCTCTCTCCTCCCCACTCTTCCCTTTCCCCTCCATTGGTCTTCGCGCGACTGCATCTGCTGTTGAGTCGGTTTCGCATAGCAACCGTCCAAGCACCTCTCCCTCGGTCGGGTTCCCGCCAATGCCGCGATCGCTACGGTATACGGCGACTGGAACGCTGGTGTGCACTACCTGGTGCACTACCTGGTGTACTACCAGCCAAACCCGTGGTCGATCGTCACTGTAGCGATTCGAACATTAATTGCAGCCATTCTCGTTCCCTGAGAGCCTCCAACACAACAATGACAACAAGCTTTAATAAATGTAAAGATGGTAAATGTTAAGCTCGGTCGTACTGTAGTAAGGTGAACTGTATTCAGTTTGTCACGAGTGTGGGACAAATTTGGGGATTTGAACCCATGATCTTCCGTACACCGGTTGGATGCTCTAACCACTGAGCTACGGAGTATCTCATTTGGTGAGCGGTCCTGGCCATATGTGACACTCGTCCTGCATACTGCTAGGATCGGCCTATAGCATCAGCAATATCGAAAGCGTCATGTGTAATAGATGTAAAGATGGTAAGTTTTATTTTTTGATCACGTGGTCAGCGAAATTTTACAAATAAACCGCGTGGCCCTGGGGACGAGAATGATTTGCAGCAAAATCACAAATCTCGTTCCCAGAGTCCTCGACTCCTCGTTACCCTTATCCGGTCCAGCGGCGTCCTTGTTGCCCGTTCCTGTCGCTGGACCGGATAAGGGTAACGAGGACTCTGGGAACGAGATTGGCAAAATCACAATCTCGATCCCAGAGCTCTTCTCTTTTGCGCATGACCGTAGTCAAGAAAAGCCGCGAAGGTCTGGGGTCGAGAATGGGCAAAGTCACTGTCAGACGGTAATGCGCATAATTATTTGTAGGCAGTTTTTTTGGATCAATGGCCGGGCTAGGGCTGTCCACAATTTGCTCGAAATGTCTCAAAAAGTTGCTCAAAAGTTGCTCCAAAAATTGCTTTTTTGATTTTTAAAGTTGCTCTTTTTTGTCCATGGGCTCCTGTTTTTGTCATTTTTTGTCCAAAGAAAAAAAATATGCTAATCGCCAATCGAAGTAACATTTCTAAGCATTTTCATGCAATTTTAATGCAACTCAAGACTCAAATGGGTAGAAATTGCTCAGAATGCAAAAAGTTACTCGAAATACGAAAGTTTCCAAAAAGTTGCCGAGCAACTTGTGGACACCCCTAGGCCGGGCTCTCGGTCAATGAAAAGGAAGAAAAAAAAATGCATCGAATGATAATAAACTTTTCGAAATTGACACCAGGCGCCAAATAAATCTGCCATTTTGCCACGATTTTGCCGTAGTGCCAGTGTTTCAGTAGCTGCACCCCTTTCTCGACCCCAGACCTTCGCTTTCTTGACAACGCGAGGCCGGCGTCAGTCATGCGCAAAATCGAGATTAGGCCCGCGGGAAACTCGAGCCGGAAATAGTCTGCGTTTGAAGGCTAGTGTTTTAGGTTCTACGCGTTCTACGGTGTGTGGTCCGCTAGCTCTGTACTCAAAAGTTAAAACTGGAACATATGTGAGTATGTCTGTGGAAAAAAAAAACCCGGGAAAAAAAACACAACTGCTTTTCCGAGGTGCTTTTTTCCGTGGTCCTCCCTCCCAGCGGTCCCAGTCCCCACAGGAGGCAAGGGCGCGCCGGACGCTACCGCTGACATCATAGAACGTTATGCATATTTTTGCTTCCCTCCCATCGCATCCCGTCGAGGTGATTGCGAAGCTTTGCTGCGGACACGGAGTGATTTTGACTGAAAAAGAAGGTAGGAATCGCATAGTTTAACTATTCTCAACTCAAGCCCATAGTTTGTAATTCGGTCGTACAAGTAACTATTGTGGCCTTATTAGCGAGCCAATAAAGGAAAATCAACGAAGAAGCGAAACTGTGATTTTATGTGTGAAGCGTCAAACACATGCGGATATAAGCTTAATAATTGCAAATGTCAAAGGCCCTCATGTGTTACCGGCCTGCGAGGACACAGTGTATAGCCAATAGAACCACGACACCCAAATAAGAAATGAAATGTTCATGTAACTTGCAGTAAAACCGTTTGTTGTTATATGCGAGGTAACCCTTGGAAGAGGAAATATGCATTTCATTTATTGTGAAGATTTTGCCACGAGATTAATCACGACGAAGATTCACTTGGCTCGGGTTTCCAACTTCGTTTTTCCCCGTCTACAGACGAAAACAGGACATTTTAAGATAACAAAATACTCAACAAGGGAGTATCTATGTATGGAGGTAGTTATTGAAGCCGTAAACGTTCAAGGAATTTCGGTTTTGGACAGAGGTGCGTTCGAGCGTGTTCGTTCACATACCCAGCTTACGTCCACGCAACCCTGTGATATTGGAATGCTTTTAACACGTATAGTGCGCATATAATTTCGACAGAATTGTTGTGAAATGGAAGTTCTGAAGTAAGAAGCTGGTCTTTAGAAGCGGAAAGCGTTCTTGACGCTGCCTGAAAGAGGAAAATAACAATACTGTTTGTTCGAAAAATACCGCATCATTGTACAAAGTGATCGAATGTGAACAATTTCATGCCCATATATGGTAATGTGTAAGCAGCAAATATATTAGGCAAATAGATGATGAATCTGTGCTTTGCGAAAATACAAATTGCGTCACACATTCAATATAGTTTAACTGTTATTTCCGTTTGATTCAACTACTGGCTTGTTTTGAAGCTGTTGATAGCTGACTGGATCACTTATAGTTGATTTTTGACTGGAAAAATTGCAGTTCAAATCTAAAATTAAACTTTGCCCACAGTAAAGATTCAGAGTTGATGCTTGAACGTTTATATTTTCATCAAGCATTTACAACTGCCATTTGGAAAATATCTGGCTGACAAGACGAAACATGTCATTACATCATTAGTCGGCCCCATGTAGGCGTTGTGCGAGTATATCATTGAAGCTCAAGAATTTATCCTTATATGGTTTCTTATCAACAGTAATGCTTATTTGCAACCACTGGGAATATGCAATGCCAATCAACTGGCTTGCAACTTTTACATGCATATGAAAACAAGGAAAGTAATATTTAATCTAAGGAGAATGCCATGCTGAATCGTTCACAAAATGCAGTATAAAACGCAACCATAATAAGGCGAAATAAAGCTACTTATGCCTGCCTTGCTACCTTTTAAAGATAAGGCGGGTACAAACCACATTATTTTATGCCAAGGAATTAAATAAAAGTGATTAATTAATTTAGACAAAAATGACATCATCAACTTTTCTACTGTGTTTTCTTGGCTTACAGTTGAAAAACGCAAAATATATATTACCTTATATAGACAAAGAGAAATATAAATGGTTTTCACTTCACTCAGATCGCCAGGAGACTGCTCGATGCGTGTACATGATAGCAGCGCAAATACAAATTTAAAGAAGAAACAAAAGTTGACAGGTTACTCGAGTTTTGTAGCACTAAGGTGATCATCAGACCCGTGCCGTTGGCGGGAGAAGTGCGAGATAAATTTTAAAACTAAAGTCATGGAAGGTTTTTTGGGGGGGGGCGAGGGGGGTAGGGCGCTAGGGGGGTGGTGAGGGCTGGAAGCCACATTGGCTGCAAAGAATTTGTTTTTCATTCTTTTTTTTTACCTTTGTATATAATTATTTGCTTTGTCATATTTTCCTCATCATGGATTGCTAGATTCCAAAATAGGGCTGATTTACAAACGAAAGCAGGAATGTGACTGAGTCTCTATGCATATTACTAATGTTTATATCACAGAAACTGTACACTCGTAATTCTGGCTGTTGTCGTAAATTATATCATTAAGCCAAGCAACGTCTTGACTATCAGAGGAACAAATAATACTGAGTAGGAGGTAGTAGTTCATTGTTCTAGAATATCATTTTGGTAAATTTTATCTTTGCATGGCTCTGAAATTCGTACTAACACAGTATTATTATTGTGATTAATTTTTAACTGAAAGTGTATTTTGTTTCAATTTCCTACATGCCACATCCTTGAGGTTTTTAACCCTTTAACCGCCGCACATTTTTGGAGCGAAAAGTGGCATGACACGCGGCACCTTTTGAAAATGGGGGCTTTCTTGTCAAAAAAATTTGCGTATCGATATTTCCAAATGCAAGCTAGTAGCACAATGTTAGTACATCCTGTTGAACTAAAAATAACCAATCACTTAAAAGAACATTTATCACAAACAATGAATGTACTAAAACATTGGGATTTATTTTCATTCAAAAAACTGACTGATAAAAAGATCAGTGCAAAAATGCTGCCCTCTACATCTTTACCACATTTAAGCCTTAAGATCAATCTAGTTTATGCATCCCGTGTCACAAGTAAATATATTGTCCTCAACGTTTTCACAATTGGTTTCAAAACATCTTCTACGGCACCAGCAGTTATCGATCGTTGGAATTGTGCAATATATTTTCTTTCGACCCCTCTAATTCACATCAAAATTTGCTCTTGACTATACCACTTCTCTTTCATGGTTGTTGTTAAAAATGGAGCCGTAAAAAATCACGCACTCAAGCTGTTCTATCACCATTTTTCAAACGCCTTTCTTTATCGTTCAGTCTCGTAGACAACAGACCGCCCATTTTTGTATTCAAAAAATGCATGTGTTTTCCTCATACATGAAATAAATTAAGCTCTTTCCATATATGGAATGTAGTGCCCAGTTTTTACTTTGTTTTAGGTTAGGTCTGTCGGTGCCTGTTCAATTTCGCCGGAAAACCAGGCGCGTGGGGTCACAGACTACTTCAGGGTTTAGAGCTACGGCGTTGTCACAATTGAAATTTGGTTATCAAACATCTCTTAATTGAGTTTGAATTCTGCTCGACAAAAATTGATATCATCGAAACATTCATGAGTCTGAAAAACACCAAATCAAACTTCGATTATTGAACTTTTGATTTGATCCCTGAATAATGCTTTGATTGCAAGGTTCTCAGTAGTTTTTTTTGAACAGCGCTCGCTAAAGTATATAAGAGGCAACTACAATTGATAGAACGACCGGCGTATAACCAAAGTCTTGTAATTTCAAGCCAGACAGGCGGTGGACTTTACTTTTGTCCGGGGGGTGGAGTGGTGCGCGGCGGTAGGGGGTCGAGGGGGACTGACAGTCCGGGTGAAAGTCCACCTGTTTGCCGCCTTTCTACTGAGAACCCTGTTTGATGTGCTCGCTTTTTTGATGTGCATTTGGAAAATGTGTTGGTATGCCAACATGTTTTAACGCATCTAATTTGGCTACACTTATCTGCAACTGTACTATAACTTACCTTTGAGTGGCACTGTATGAGAATTGGTTTGGGTTATTGAAGGTAGTCTTGAAGTCAATGCTTGATATTTACTGTCATTCACTCTTAAACATGTTTAAATTACTATTTTTTTTTCAGGTTTTGAATTTGGAAGTTCACT